TGAATTTTTCTTGGAGGACTTTTTTAAGCTTATCAAGCGATATGACAAATGTTTCAACGTACTCGTACGAGAATAATAAAATAAAGATATGTCATATCTTTAATGTTTCATTCTATTTTTTGACTTTCTTACACAACTCTGACCACAGTCGACAGGGGAAACTTATTTTTCAACTTACCTACGTAGTACCGTGTCCATCATTGGTTCAAATGTGGCTGGAGCACTGCATAATGTGCCTTTAAATTCATAGAGACCATCTGTCTGTCAAAAGTCATCTGTCAAAAGCTGTCTTTTCTCTGTCTTTATCAGCAACCTCTATTTTCCAGTAGCCTGACTTCACATCCATCATAGAGAAAATTTTTGCACCAGCCAGACATTCCAAAGCATCATCGATGCGAGGTAACAGATAGACGTCCTTTTTAGTTACCTTGTTCAATTTTCTGTAATTGACACAAAAACGCCATTCACCGTTTTTCTTCTTCACAAGCACGACTGGAGATGACCATGGACTGACTGTCTGATGGTTGTATCACATCTTCTTTTAGCATTCGTTGCACTTCGTCTGCAATCACACGGCTCTCAATGGATGACACACGGTATGGCCTTTGTTTGATTGGTGCACTGTTACCTGTATCAATCTTGTGCTTCACCGCATTGCATAGGGATTTTTTCGCAATACATTTTAAGTAAAAAATGTCACTAAATTCATCTAGTAGACTCAATAGCTGGTCTTTCTCAGCATTGGTCAAATCAATATCGAAAATTTCTGAGATAACCTTTTCCTGAACCTATGTCCCTTGAAACCTTCTGGAGCCTGACCCCTTAGGAAGCAAATAGCGTTGTTGTTATGGTCATTAAACAGCCTACATTCATCTCTTTCGGTATCAGATGGGTTCATCAAGAACAATTAGTTACCCGTAATTTACCACAACCAACCTCTATAGAGACAATTGAAGCTGGTATCGGTAGTTCTTTTTCGCACATCAGAAATCTATTTCCAACAATCATAGCTCCATCTGCTTCCCATAGTTCTGAATTCAGGGCACATATTCGCTTTGTGGTGTTTGCTTCAATTACATAATCGGTTGCGGCAAACAAGGAGGGCTCTGACTTATTTAAATATTCATTGTCTGAAAGGATTTCTGCAAGTGTAAGTTCTTGATTTCCACAATAGATAAAGGCGTCGGTGGCACAGAAAAAGTTCCATGCAAGTATCATTTGATGACTACATTCAGGAAACACAAGGAATTAAAATGGCTTCTTAGTCCCATTCAAATCAATATTTAAAGATAATAAAACCAATTCCAAATGCCCATATTCGAATGGAGGACTACGTTATTCAAAATTTGATGTGGTGGCTACAGGTTTACCACAGCCAGTTTTCAATACAGGTCCATTCTCAGCAAACTTAGGAGCATTTAGCTGCCGACGTAACTCTTCGGATATGACAGAATAATCGGCACCCAAATCAAGGGCTTTCACACACTGTTGTTCACGGTGATAAAAGTGTTATTCATTTTGAACTTGGCTGTGGTGTAAGTCGGAGGCTTTTCTTCAACTGCGCCCTCACCTCCTGTACAGGTCGCTTGAGCTAGTTTTCCTCATTGATTCGTTATGTGGAACGTCATACTGGTGGCTGCGATTGTCGGCGGTTGAGAGAGCGTCGCTGAGAAGGTGAACTGCTTCTTATTCGGTAAGAACTAGGTTATGCTGCATGTTCGTCATTGAAGCTGTATGTAAATTCAGTATCCCTGTCCGATCGAGGGTTAGACATCTTTGCGGCTCTTGCATTTTCAAATATCTGGCATCTCTCCCTACAGTACCTCAGAACATGTCCAGGGCGTCCGCAATGAAAACAGAGAGGCACATTATCGTCAGTCCTCCACAGATCTGTTCTATGTTGTGCAGCCGTTCGCTGGCTGGCTTCCTGACTTGGCTCCGACCTAACTGGAAGTGAACATTGGGGAGTGTTTCTGCTTCTCCCTTCTTGTGTGAGTGGTGCCAGCACTTCTATAACCTCTTCCCGGACCACCGATGCTATGTCATTCAGTGCTACAGGTTCTATTTCGTGTAGCCCTGAACTTGCGGCAGGATCTTCTGAATCTTTTCCCTGATGATGGTGCACACTATAAACCTTAGTTCACCAGCGTCCGCATCAGCCGACACCGCGGAGACATTTTAGGCAGCCTCTGGAATCATGATCAGGTGATATGTCTTTGTCGAAGACTTTCTATTTCACAAAGGCATCGGCACTGTCATAGTCCTGGGACAACAGGACCTGGTACAAGTCTTCAGCAATACCTTTCATGAGATGGGCCACTTTCTTGTCTTCAGACATGGATGGGTTTGCTTTTTGGCAGAGAGTGAGAACATCTTGAATGTAATCTTCAGACGTCTCATCGATTTGCTGGGCATGTGTGAGTAATACTCGTTCAGCTTGGCGCTTTACATCAGCTGCTCGGGAAAAGGTGTTCTTAAGAGCAGTCCTGAAAACAGTCCAACTGGTAAATATGTCTTCATTATTATCGAACCACTGTCAAGCAGTTCCGCCAAGGTAAAAAATGACATTCGCCAGACACATTTGATCATGCCATTGGTTATAGTTGGCAATTCTATCAAAATCCTTGAGCCATCTATTAGTATCTTCTTGGCTGTCCCCGGTGAATATACATGGCCTTCTGGGTAGTTGGTGTGATATTACTCGAAGCGGAACTAGCTGCTGCTGGAGGATTCTGCTCGGTTTCCTTCTCATCAACCATCTTTCTTGATCTTTTACGTGTATCCTGTAAGAGTCTAAACTCATAAGCGAATCCGCAGGCTTCGGTGTAACTCTGCCGTAGTAACTGAGTGTCACTCGGTGCTTCCACCAAGCTGTCGCGTAGATGAAGGGATCCTACAAATAATCAGGCAAGTACTCAAGTCTAAATTCAAGACTTTTTATTAACTCACTGAATGAAGAGATACTTATATACAGCTGGTGAACTTGCTGGAACATTCCAAACTGGAAATATTCTGGAAGAATAAGAAGGAAATTTACATAAAATCCAATTATCTCGCCATTGATGAGTTTCGAACCCAGGACCTTTGGGTTTCGAGTCCTGCGTCTTCTCCGCTAAGCTATGAGGAACTCGGTCAAAAAGATAAATTTTCGCTACATTATTCTAAGTAGGTTTTAATTCAGTTGAAAGGTTATATTCTACATAAGTGGAAAAGTGAATAAGGAAAATGTACATATCTGGGAGACTCAGAAGCCTTACCAAATTGTTAAAATTTGGTGTAGTTAATTTTGTGCCAACATTGTATAGTCCATACTTCTTTCTTGATAGAATTATCAGTAGTGAAACATTTATGGGCTTGCTGATTACGTTCCTTATGCCACATCAGAACAGGATAGTACCGACTTTCCCTTTTAGTTTGATGGAACTCCACGTAAATACTATTATAATATAATCAACTTCCTTTATAAAACACTACTACATCACTGCACTGGATGATACTCGTGATAATTGTATTCAATGATAATGATCAATATATTCAATGATAACTGATATTTTTGGTCACTGAAATCACTGGACATTGTATGATACAAACACCACCCAAGGTGTGCATAAAGTAAGATTGCATTAGCACTGCAGTATAAATCATTGATATTTAATATAAGTTTTGCCGAACATTTGAAACATGTCTGAAAGGTGTTAGATTTATAGTATTGACACTTGCCAAGTATGAAGGGTGCTCACAATGAGCATTTTTAACTTATATCTTAACCTTCCAGCACGCGCATATGTGCAAAATTTACGACAAATTTAGTTTTTAATGCACATTTTTCGCATATCGAAGCTGAGATGTCTAAAGTCATTTCTATTCCTCCCTTTCTACCCTTCCTCACATCATGGAATGTGCAACAGGAAGTCATATGACTTTTTTTTTTTTTTAACTGGGCTTTGTGCTACGTGAGAGCCTTTTCATAAAAGTTACGTTTGTGTTTTAAAATTCGGAAAATATTTTTTTCAACAAATATTTTGTAATTCTGTGTTATTAATTGCCATGTATTATTTAAATTTGAATACATTTGGCTCTGTAAATTTTATATCAGTTTTCATGGCAAAAAAATATGTGCAACCAGTTGATTTTGCTCGGATTCTTCAAAAATTATCTGATGAAGAAAGGAAGACAAGGAAACTTTTGGATGGGAGAGGAATAGTGATTTCTATTCCTTATTTTCCTTTATTTCTATTTTTTAGAAATAAATAAAAACATTAAAGTTAGTTTAAAGTACGTTTTTGTAAACAGCAAGAAGTAAATTCCCTTGCAGAAGTAAGTAATGCTAAACTTACTTTTTTTCCTACCAAGGTGTTTCGCTTTTTTATTGTCTCTACTTGTGTTTGATGAATATTAAACTTAGCTTCGATTTTAAAATATAATTATTAAATAATAAATTTAAAATTTTCTATAATGAAATACATCATTGCATTTCCATCTCACTAACATAAGAACTTAAAAATAGTTTACTTTTCTTTGAATGTGATATCATTTGTATTTTGCAATAATAAGATTAATATTTTATTTCTTAAGAAATTTATTATCAATATTCACACATTACTGTCGTTTTTCGTGCCAAAACTGGTAAAATAATGGATGTTGTAAAAAAATACGATGCGCGTATGCTCATGTAAATTTGCCAAGTGCGCGTCTTGGAAGGTTAATAAATTTTGGTAACTCAGTTTTGACAGTTACACTACATAAGTGTGAAATTGTACTTTATTTTAGCAATTTGTAACTAAAATGTAGTGCATTTAAATTGTTAAAATCATTTTTAATTGACTTCTAAGATTTGTTTTTTCCATTTCATGCATGCATGTTTTTACATTGTAGAGTTGTAGAAATTGTGTACTGAAGAGATTTTTTTACAATTATAATAATAATTCTTTAGAATATATACAAATTCCTTTTTCATTTTGATTAGTATTATGTGTAATGCTATTTCAAATTCATTTTAGATTCCTTGCAAATCACTGATGCTGAAGAGGAAGATCAAGGAAATTATGAATGCCTGGCTGAAAATATACATGGTTCTGCCTTATCTGTTATGGGTACCTTATTTGTTCGAGGTATGAACTTATCATCTTTATAAACACTATAAAATTATTTGGTAAAAGTTTATAGTAGGATGTTCCCTTGATATTTTTGGCAATTCTTTTTACACCAAGAATGGTGCCAGGAAACAGCGTTTCCAAGATGGCTATCACCTAAAACAAAGCCGAAAATGTATGTTACAAATATAACAAAAGTACTCACCTTGTGTGTTGTTGGCTTCATCTTATCATCAGCATCGAATGACTGCAACTCATACAATTTATGTAGTTCCAAGATGGATTGTGTTTCTTCTGATCCTGGTACCTGCAATACCACAAAAACTCCATAAAATGGGAATAAAAAATTTCATCTTCTGCTTAATCTGGCTCTACATGCATGATGTCAGTTTTTGGTATCTTTGTTCATCACAGTATGATTCACTGACAACTGCTTGAAACCTTGATTACCAAGACAATCGCAGGCTTTCTGACAGTTGGAGTTAGTCGTGGTTCCAGGCAAGATTTTCAGCGTTATCACCTACAACAAAAACTTTTTCATGCAATCCATTCAATTTTGTTCAGTGAATCAAATCAATTTGTTCAGAATCGAAAAATTGAAAATACGGTCAAAATTCAAAATACATGGTTTATAATATGTTATCACTAAACTAAGCCTTGACATAGATGTTGATCACTAAATTAAGAAGATCCAATCAGATTAAACTTAAGAAACACGTTGGTATGCAATACAAAAAACTAGCTGCCGAAATCGATTCTGGGTTACCAGAAAACTAATATAAGCAGTGGTATTTGGCACAAATCCAAGGGCACCCTTTTCTGCATTAAAGCCAATTACTTTCTTATTCAAAGGCATATGTAATATGTGATCAAATCTACTATCAAACTTTAATCTTTTTTCCTGTAACTGGCGTATGATAACCACACCTTCATAGATCTAAGCCCACATATGCTTATTTTTTAGTATTTTCCTTAAATAGATGCATACAAGTATAGTTACTTATGTGCTTCTGAAAGATATAAGATACTGTTGAACAATGCCTTGTAATTATCGTGAGCCTCTTTCTGATCAGTAGCATTAGATTATAGTTTGATTTTTTGCTGACATTCTGCCATATGTAAACATATATAACTATCAAAAAGTAAGTGTTGGAAAAAAATTGAATAAAATTTTGTTCCTTCTATATGAAGGTCTAACCTTTCTCCTCCAAATAAAAAATTACCAAACTGAATGAATGTAAATTAATGAAATTTTCAAAAATAGAATCTTTAACTGCAAATTAATATGAGAAAAGAGAAATTTTTTAAAAAAATTACAGAATGTCAACTTTTTTAAGACCTGGTTTCTTTTTCCTGAAACTTTCTGCCAGTTTTAAAACTAAGACTGTAGAAATATATTGCCATCTTGGATGATTCCCTTTAAAGCTTAGTAGAAGAAAACAATGCCATTGTTGTCCCTATTACCCTTCTTTTTAGTTAAACCACCCCCACACCAATTTCGGTACCAACTGAATCACTCCCAGAAAGCATGGGCTGTTTAATTGTTTTTAGTTCCTTGCTTTTTAGGATCTTATGAGTTTTTCTGTTTGGTTCTTTTTCCCTTTTTTTGTAAACCCCTAAGCAGGGTTTGTCTAAATTCTAATAACCCTATCAACATCCATTCTTTTGGCTTTTGAAGCCTTCTGGTGATATGGTTAGATTAAGGAAAGGAATATTTGTCTTTTGTTTCATGATTTTCTTAGTTTTCATTTTTAATACAATTTTTCTTTCAATTTAATTCAGCTCACTCCAGCAGCTTATTTTTATGAATATCTATTGGTACAAGTTTGAAAATTTACAAAAAGCTAATTTTCAAGTAATTGAGCCACTCTTGTTTAAGGCTTTATATAATTCAACTGAACAATTTACTTTTCAATTTTGAAGAAAAAAATTGATTCATTAATTCTTGATGTAAAATTTTTCTTTTTGATTTAATTTAGTTTATGTAATTAGTGTTTTTTTAGGCTTTTTTTTAATTATTATTATTTTTACCATTATTTTGCTTTTGTATATAGTTTTTGGTCTTATTTGAGTACGAACGCATGTTGGAAAAAGATCTGAACATTTGAGAACTATTAGAATGTTGTTTTAAAGTGAAGGTTTGGTACTAAAAAATGGTAACTGTAAATGTTTTGTATTCTTTTTCAGTGAGACGTGTTCCACCTTATTTTTCAATTCGACCTGAAAATCTTTATGAAGTGATGCCGGGCAGTGCTCTGAACATTACATGTGTGGCTGTTGGTTCCCCAATGCCATTTGTTAAGTGGCGAAAAGGTTTAATGGATGTAACACCAGATAATACTATTCCGATTGGCAGGAATGTTTTGGTTTTGGCAGATATATCAGAATCTGCTAATTACACATGTATTGCAGCATCAAAGTTGGGTAATATTGAAACTACTGCTCAAGTTGTTGTGCAAGGTAATCGTTCAGAGCAATTTCATTAAAAAAATTACTTTCTATAATTTCTATTTATATGTATCTTCAAAAAAGATTCATGTTGAAATTCAGTATAATTAATATTAATATTATATTTTATTTTCCCTTGTCGCATTTATATTATTTGTGTGCTTGTAATTAATTGCATTAGATCAGCTGTTCTCAACCTTTTGACTAACATGTACCACCTAAACGAAAACTGAAAATCCTTAGTATCACCACTACACTTTACAATGATTATTTTTCAGTTTCTGTATAGAAATGTCAAAAAACTAGTTTGTCATTTGCACAACTTATAAGCTGTTTGTATTAAATATGTATACATAAAAAACTATTAGATTAAAAATTGGCTGCCATTTTAATTTTCAAAATTTAAGTTATAATACTTTAATTTTAAAATTTGCTGTGAAATCCTGGCTTGTTTAAGAAAGATAAATTTGTTTATGGCTGGTCTTATTTTACTTAGTTTTAACCATAAATTATGATCTGCTTTTAAGTTTATTCTGTCTTTTTTTTTTTTTTTTTTTTTTTTTCTTTTTTTTCCAAATATAACATGGAAGAAGATCTTTGGTCACACAAATAGGTTGTGCAAAAGGACAATAAAAATTTAATAGCTTTATTTAAAATGCCTTTAAATTCTCTTTTTTGGTTCATCCCAAAATCAACAAGAAATCTTCAGTTAGAGTTTGTTGAAAGGAAATTTCTATCAATTGTTCTTTTTCTTTGTGAGATTTTTGAAGTTAATAGTTAAAAATACTTTGCTTTTTTGCATACCACCTATTTTTCTCTTGTGTACCACCAGTTGAGAATTGCTGCATTAGATCATTATCTGGCATAATACTAATTTGGGAATTTAATTTGCTGCTAAATGCTAATAATTGTCCTTATTTCATTGCCTTAGATTTAGCAGTGTGCTATTAAAAATTATATCGGATTTTGGTTTGAGCAGGAAATGTATATGTAAGAAATCAGATTGTTATCAGAAGACAAATGCTTGTATAATATTTTTCTATGATTGCTTCCAAGAAAAGCATTGCAAGGAAAAGTAAAATGCAGTACTGTTTGGCATTTTACTCAACTATGAAGTAATGAAGGAAATATTTTTCATGTTTTATGGATGGGTAGATTATGTTTTTTTTAAGTAAGATACTTTTTCAAGTAAGAATATCAAAATACTAGTCTACTCAGTCACCTTGCATACTGGTAACTATCCTACAATACTCAAGTACAGAAAAAACAAGCATCTGTAAGTACCGTAATTTCCGGAAGAAACGCTGTGGCATTTATGTGTTTAAAACTTAAATTTTCTGCTGGTGCTGCGTTTCTACCCATGCGGCGCTTAGGTGCACTAAAAAAAAAAATATTTCTTATGATGTCATTGTGCATAGTTTTAATAGCCTTGTTATTGTACATAGTTTGGATGACCTTGTCATTGTACGTAGATTAGTGCTGTCCCCACATAAAAGACCACTCAGTTGCTTTCTGCGAACTTTATTTTGTTTACATTCTTTTCCTTGAATGGACGTGCATGCCTTATTCACCCTAAACAGGATCTCAGAATAATAACATTCTTCCCTCTTTCAAATCTGCATTCTCATCAGTTTGAATAGTCTCTCTTCTCTCCATTCGATGAATCTTACAGGAGCCATCCTCTCCCCACCCCTGCCTTTTACATTGTAAATCAACTGCAATTTTTTTCAAAGGCGGACACCACTTGCATTGCAATAACAAATTCTGACGTATTTCCCCTTCAACACGAATCGATTTTTTTTGTGGGGGGGCATTCTGCCAGATACAGATCCCATCAGTTTGGGTACAAATACTTTTTGGATAGTTTTAAAGTAAGAAGGGAGGGGAAAATTTTTGAAAATGTCACCTAAACGGCACAGAAGCTATACTGCTGGTTTTAAGCTTAATGTAATTTCATGTGCTGAACAAATTGGAAATAGAGCAGCAGCTTCAGAGTTTGAAGTGGATGAAAGATGCATTCGATGTTGGAGAAATGAAGAAGAAGAACTTAAAAATATGCCACAGCAGAAAAGAACCAAAAGAAGTGGTACTGTAAGGTGGCCAAATCTAAAGGACAACCTTGCAAACTGGATGAAGGAGCAACGAGGAAAGGAAATGGCAATTTTGACTGTAAAAATTTGCCTACAAGCAAAATTTATGGCAAAACAAATTAACATAAATGATTTCAAAGAAGGGCCTTGTTGGTGTAGCAGATTTATGAAAAGAAAAAATATTTCTGTGCATACTAGAACAACAGTCGGGCAACAATTACCAATGGACTGGCAGAATAAAAAGACATCTTTTCTAAAATATGTGACATATGACATATATTATCGACAAAAAAACAAACAAACAAAAAAAACTTTCATCACAGATAATAAATATGGATGAAATGCCATTAGCTTCCAACTCTCCTGCAAACAGAACTGTTAATGAAACTGGTGCAACAACAGGGCATGAAAGAATGTCATTTACATGTGCATTAGCTTGTGCCGCAAATGGTGACAAGCTAAAGCCAGTGATCATTTTTAAAAGAAAAACTATTCCGAAGGGTGATTTTCCTAATGACCTAATTATTTGTGCAAACGAGAATGGATGAATGTGCGAAACAATCATGCATGAGTGGTTACAAAAAGTTTGGCAGTGTCATAAGGGATCTTTTTTCCAAACAAAAGGGTTATTGATAATGGATTCCATGCATGCTCATTTACTTGAGTCAGTGAAAACCAGATATCAAAAACTGTCTATGACCGTAGCAATAATTGCTGGTGGTTTTTAAAAAATCTTACAACCAGTAGATTTGTCAGGTAATAAATCCTTCAAAGTTGAAGTCTGAAAGTGGTGGGAGTGTTGGATGAGTGAAGAATTGCATACGTAAACATAGCAAAATGCATAGATCATCTTATGAAGAAGTTGCAAAGTGGGTAGGAATTTGTGGTAAAGTGTAAAAAAATGTGTGGTAAAGTGTAAAAAGTGGGTAGGTATTAATTTGAATAAATGAACATGGAAATCAGGGAAAACATCGTCAGTAATAGCAGCATTCAAAGAAGCAGAAATTATATCCTCAGGTAAAGAGATTGTAAACCAATAGGATGAATGTGATGATCTGGAAGACTTAGATCAGGATTTACTAAATCTTTTTAATTCAGATAGTGAGGAATCAGATTTTGATGGTTTCATTTGATGAACAGTTTGCTGTAATTCCTTTGTAAGCAAAATTTAAAATTTTCTTTTGTCATCCAAATGTAATATTTTGTTGTTGCAGCATTTTTATAATATAGTATGAGTATGACAAATATGGACTTCTTTAATGGGTAAATATAAGTATATTCATGAACGTAAATTTATTTTCAACATTTCTTACCTTTATTTTTGAGTTTTTATAACTAATATGTCATATATCAGGACATAGGTCAATATTTTGCATCTATACGGTCCCCGACAATGTCATGCGGGATTTAATCTATTGCGGTGTTTCTGCATAATTTTATTTTTTTCTGCCACTTTTCTCGAGTGCGGCATTTACGATGATGCAGCCTTTCTTCCGGAAATTATGGTAATTTTGGGTAATCTTCTTGAACCATATATGTTAAGCCTTTCTTGCAATGTCACACTTCCTGTGGCATGACAACAAATATCACAGGTCAAGATTGTTGAAATTTTCTTTATCATGGTGGCTCAAGAATTTTCAGGCAATTTAATGAGAAGCCTGATGCCATTTCAACCATTATATCCCTTTGTCTAATAGTATATGAGATATCTCTTTCCCATGTGTGCTTTTGTGCATAACTGGTAATGGTAGTATGTCCAACTAGTAATTACAAGATCTCGAGTTTGAGTGATAGTTAATTTTCAAATATTAGGCTGCAGAAATTGTAGCTGTACAATTTCATCCCACTACAAATATAGTGGATGATAAGTCATCACCATCTGAAGTTAGCCAATTTGGTCTTGTTCCCCTCTCTCAAGTTGCCATTTAAGTGGAGGAGAAAATAAGGAATTAACTCCTCCTTCCCTTGCTCAGAGTGCTTCTTCTTCAGTAGCTGGTAGCATATCTGACTATCCATTGGAAGATTTAGAGTTCGAATCCTGGGGAGGGCACACTTGATTTCTCACATTCCTTATTCCAAAAAAATCCTAACTAGCTCTGCTGCTATATATATATGTAACAAATATTCTCTATTCATATAAAGTTAATTTAAATTTAAAATTTAATTATGAAATTTTAATTTCAAGTATAAAATATTAATTATTGCTCATTTAAATTCTAAGTGCACGTATCTAAAACTATGAAAAAAATAATATTCTGAAAAATTAATCCCAAAAAAATTTTTTAAGGAATTTTTAAGACCAAATTAATTTGCATAAATGAATAATTGTTGAGCAGGCAGGAGACGGAACTTATCAAGGGGAAGTTGCCTCCCAACCTAACTCTTCAATTACTCAATTCGTGTTTCATCATCCATATAGGGAAGGTTTATAGTGATATTCAAAACCAAAAGTAAATCCAAATGTTAAAATTACTAAAAAAGAAATTTAAACTAGTAGGAATTTTAAGAAATTTGGCAAGGAAATAGACTAGTAATTAAAAAATTAATTAAATGTAAATTGCTGATACAGTGAAAAGTAGAAGACCAAATTTTTTAGAAAACCAAAGTAATTTAGAAACTCTTGCATATTAGAAACTTCCCCTACACAAATTATGCACGTAAACCAAAAACAAACTATATACAATCTATCAAAATACATTAAATATAAAAATAATACTAAAAAGCCTAGTAAATAGCAAGTTTTAATTCAACTTACCTAGTAACTATACATTTGTATTTCTGAGAGTGTATTAGCATTTGCTAAACTAAGTGAGATTGAGTATATATATATACAGTCAAAAGTCGTTCATTCGGACACCCATAATCCAGAATGATCTATAATCCGGACCTCAAAGCTACAAACTTTCTGCTCATGCATCGCATTGACGCGTGCACGTAAGACCTTTACGGCTGCAAATTTGCGTGTGCGTGTGCGCAAAATACGTTTACAAATACGCATTTAATGTATAACAGACGATATAAGCTAAGCTAAAATTATCTAATTATCTATTTCAGTTAATGTTGCAGATTGCGTTGTTCCTTAATCTTCGAATTGGATCCGGCTTATTATTTTTTGCAGACTGTCAGAGCAATTTTATAAAAGTAAGCTTGAACTTTCGATTATGTCAAATAGAATTTCCGATATATATTTACTAATTTGTAAAGGATCTACAAAGTGAAAGTAAATTTCATAGTCCACTAAACAAAAAGTGGAATTGCTGCAAAAAATGGATAAAGGCATATCCTTTGTTTATCTAAACTTTGTTTATCTTTAACGCTGTGGTGAGTGCGCAATGAAATTGGAAGTTGATCTGTCAGCACTATCCTTTTCTTCAGGGCAGATGTTTTTATTTTATTTGGCTTATAATTGCTTACTAAATGTAGTATTTCATCTCGATGTACTCCGTCTTTGATATGATTTAAATCAAATGCCTCATCATTATAATTCGCTTCCGATAGCGAATAAAGTGACAGAAGTTATTGAAAACGAAAAAATTTGGATTGACAAATTAGTCGGTATTCTCTACACATCAATTATAGGACTTGAACAGCGGTTAAATGTTTAATAAAGTTAACAAATAAATATTAAGCTTTTTTTTTTTTTTTTTTTTTTTTTTGTAAATTTTGATACCCTTTAGATCATAATTGTTCTTTTTTTCATAAATTACGGTTTCATATTTTTAATTTTATAATTTCTGCATGCCATTTTACCAGATTTAAACAGATGATCTATAATCCGGAATCGCTGAAGGCCCGACGAGTCCGGATTAACGACTTTTGACTGTATATGTGTGTGTGTGAAAAAACACAAAATCATTTTTTAATTCAGATAATGCATCTTTGTTTACTGAATACTAGCAATGGGCATACTGGTGCTCACAGGCCAATTGTAGCATTGCTCCGGAAGATGTCAACAAGTGTAGTGTATGCAGTCATGACTCATTGAACTGTAGTCATATTCCAAATAAATGTTCTAGACCAAATAAAAGTTTTCGCATTTTAACAGGACATGTATTAAGTTTGACATATACTTAGGTACCACTGTACCTTAATTTAGGTTTTAATAAAAGTCAGAGGGCATTTTCTTCAATAAAATTGTCTAAAAGTTACATTTTTAGAGATTATAAATTGTAATGCTTTATTCAGGATTTATCATGTAATTATTTTTATACAACTGAAATCTCAACTGCATTGCCACCCCAAAAAAACTTAATTGTATATAACTGCAAAAATAGTTATGTATTTGTTAATTTACATTTTTACGTTCCAGCACTGCCACGGCCACCCACAAACGTCAGAATTTCTGATGTAACTGCTACATCTGTTCGTTTATCATGGTCATATGATATAGGTTCAGAGAACATAATTTATTATGTTATTCAGTACAAACCAAAGCAAGCCAATCAGGAATATAGTGAAATTAGTGGAATCACCACCATGTTCTACACAGTACGTGATCTGAGCCCTTACACAGAGTATGAGTTTTATGTTATTGCCGTCAATGGTATTGGACGGGGTTCCCCAAGTACTCCCGTACATGCAACCACAGGAGAAACAGGTAATTTAAATTTTTTTCTTATTTGAAATAATTCTCTTATATTTTTAATTAATATTTCAAAGCAGCAATAATACACATTACATAAAAAATATTTATGGTTAATTATTTGTAGAATTTATGTATTGTTGTTTTATATTGTACTAGCCACTAAGAATATATATTATTACATTCCTGGTTTTGATTAAGGATAGAGAAAGAATATTCGAAAATTTTACATATAAAATTTTGCACCAAAATATTTTCTGAGTTGTGGATTCTAAATGCATTCCATGTTAAATTTTATGTAGTGTACTGAATAATTGATGCAATTATCATTTTAAGAAAAATTCTTTGCATACGAAACTTTTTAATATTTTAAATAATTTGTACCCAGAGCTTTCTAAAAATATATAAATTTTTTTTATTTTTTAATATTTATAAACATAAAGATGTCGACAAAATTTAATCAACCATTCCCTTGTTAAATTTTTTGTTTAGTTTCAAAGTAATTTAATTCCAAAGTATGGTTAATACAAAAAGGTCAATTATTTTTCTTAAAATTGAATTGGGTTATGCATTTGTATATTTCAGTGATGAAAGTAATGTCGATGTTTTTATTTATTTATCGATTGCTATATATTTCCTGTACTCTTTTTTTTTTTTTCAGTGATTTTATTTTTCTTTACTCTTTTGTTTGCAGTGATTATTAAAATAGTGTAAATGAATATTAGATTGTGTTATTTTTGTTCCCCTGTTAATTTAATTATTAAATGGTAATTTAGGTTAAAATAAATGCCGAATTGAAAGAAAAATCAGTTTAGACGATGAGAAAATATTTATGCACAATTAAAGTGAATATTAATTTTTAGAAATTAGCTCTAATTTTAGTTTTACTGATATAGTTCCCCCTCCTCCCTTTGGCTTTGGACAATGCACAATACAGAATGAAGCCAAAATATCAAATTTCTTTTCCTTGTTTCAGTTTTCTACTAAACTTTTTTCAGCTCTCCTCTACAGGCACATAGTCTGGTATTTTTGAGATTGTGAATCAGTGATTCATTAAACCTTCTAAATTAAAGATAGTTTGAACTATCATTTGTGAGCTATCCTATTCCATTTCCATTGTGTGTGATGTGCACTGATGCATAATTACTTTCAATTCTTTTGACTGATCAAGAATTAAAATTTAGTAAAATCATTTTTTAAATGTATGTAATCAATTTAATAATAAATATTACAACTGGAATAATCTGTCCCATTTTGCTAATGCATTTGCTAAAGTATGTTAGTCACTAAAAAAATTCTATATATGTCTCTCTTAACAATCTGCCATTTTATTGATGTACTTAATACTATGTAGTAGTTTTATGCACACATAACAGACATGCATGCTATGCCAGAAGTTTACAAAATAATATGTGGAGGATTCATTTTTCATAACATTAGTTCATACTTCGATAAAACAAAGTATCAAGACAAAATTAATATATGGATTTTTTCCCCTGCCATATCACAGATATGTATATCTTACCCCCCCCCCATTTTCATCATAACATGATGCAACTCTGAGCATTTTTATTCCATTTTTCTCGCTTTGCTGTGTAAAATAACAATACTTGATGCAAAACAGAGACACTTTAGAGGAAAAATATGTGTGCATCTTTATAGGAAGTTATTACTTTACACTAATTTTTAAGAAAATAATAAAAACTTTATATTAATAAAATTAATAATAAATAGAATTTTAAGAAAATACAAAACACTACTATTAAAAAAATTAAATAAAAATAATACTTATTTGCCATTATATTTTCAAATGTTATTAATCTGTCTGTTTTAGTACTAAACATTTAAAACATAACAAGACTTTTTAGATAATAATTTTCAAATCAGTAAGACATGTAATAATGAATATATAAATATATAAATATATATATATATATACACCTAAAAAGTACTTTTTTTGGGGGGGGGTGATTTTGGAACATGGAATCGTATACCATGCGGCATTTCACACAGCTTAAAATATTCCTCACTCGAATCATGTTCCGAACATTCAAAACAAATATCCGTGTTGATTCATTTTCATTAGCTGATGAAAGATTTTCATCTTCAAAATCAGATTCCTCATTTAAAAAAATGTGTTTTAGCTTTCTCTTAAACAATGTTTCTAGCTATAACACACATTCAAAATATACCAATGAAAATGTCTGAAAATCTGCCAAATTCATGCTCATTATGCAAGAAGTTTTTAATACTTCTACTGCTATCTATACCAAGTAAAATCAATTTATTTCGGAGTTCAATTAGTTTGTAACACTAAGCACCATCAGATTATTTCAAAAAACAAACCCACTTAGTCTGTGTGCACTTGAGCAGAAACCTGATTCGCAAGATGGATTCTTTCATTTCCATGTAGGCAGAAATTTATTATGTGAACTGTGTTCATTTGTGCTTATTGTGGTGTGTACCGAAATGCAGGCTGTGCTTGTCGATCACCAGCAAAAAGTTAACATAAATAATTTCAAAATTTAGATGAAGTTGAAATTTTCTTGAAAGTTGTTGGAATATAATTACAGTATCGGTTTAAATTATTTACATCAGTAAATGACATTTTGCTTAGTTGTAAATTGCTTAGTGGCTATTTTTATTCCATATTTCTGTAAAATAATATTTATGAATGTATATAAATATTGATCTTAGGTTAGTTGTAAATTATATTTGATTCTAAATTTTTGTGTAACCAAAATATTTTACATCCTCCAGATTACAGGACTGAGCCAGGTACTTTATTTTTTTCAGTATATGTTGCTGTAAATACACTGTGTAAAATAATAATAGTAGTTAGACCTTGTGGATGTAGTGTTAAAAAAATTAGTATTTTCTGCCTCTCGCTGTTATATGTTGTATTATAAAACTTTTTTTCATTACATGAACAAATAAAGAATTTTCATCTCTAAATTTTACCTATATAGTGCCTTCATAGTTTTGCTCCCGTTATATTTTAATAAGATAAAACTAAAAAAAAAATATTTATGGGCTAAAATTTTAAATTTAGTATGTAAAAATATGTTGTCTATATCAGCATTTTAAAAATTTATAATAACTGATTGTAGTTGATAAAAGTATAACTCAATAATATTAACTATTCTTAATTTTTCTTTACATAATTTCTTTAAACATAAGGGTTGACATTGAATATTTTATAACTTTTTACTATAAACAATAAAAATTATTAAATAATTTGAAATTTAATGTTGCAAATATGTATATGTTAAAGCATGGTATGTTATTGCAGTTTTTTTACATCTACCCTCTTTTATCATAATACTAATCTAAAACTTTTTTTTAATGCAGAAGGCTTTTTATAATCATTTAAGTATATACATTAATTAAATATATGTTACGTTTTAAATTAAACATTATTTCTCAATTTTTTCATATAACTTCTTTGTTATTACAAAAACTTTTTTATGCTTTTGTTTTCTGAACACATAATTATGACAAACGAACATAACGACTTTCACTTGAATTATTTTATTGGCATGTTACATGGAAAATTTCTGATCTAATCCTAAAAATGAATGCCAAAAGTTTTGTAGTCATCAAAATCACTTTGCTTCAGTATTATCTTGGTTGGCTGGCTTAGTTTTGGAATACTGAATGATGTGTAAAGAACAGGTTGAAAGCAATAAGGATATTCAAATAAATTCATATTTTTGAAATACTTTGTGCAGACATTGGTCGACTAAATAGTCGTATTAGTCTACAACTTTGGCCGTTATCAGTCTATTGTTTTTATGCAATTCCTCATGCATTATTTCAAATTCTTTGCATTAAAGAGCCCACCAGTGGCTGAGCAGTAAAGTCACTGAACACTGGTAGTTTGATCCGGGATTCAAACCCTAGCAAACAGGCTGTTTGGATGGGCACTTTCATGATTTTCCTATGTGTAACTTGTATACTATTCCCTTAGAAAGTCCATCTCAAAGGCATCCTTTAGGCAGATACCTCTCAAGTGCTTTGCCATAATCAAATAAACTGATCCTTTCAATTAAGTTACAGATATGATTTTCATCAATACTGGTTTATCATTTTGTAAACTTGATTTCATTTGCTAGAAAGTATCTTTTTAACATCCTGCCTTGAAAATTTAATAGTACTTATTTAATATCTTGTTGTTTTCTAATTTAATGTTTCAGTTAATTTTCATGAGCATTATTTTGGTGTTCTGTGGCACTTACGATATGTAGAAAAAACTCATAAACTCAGGAAATGCAGTGGGCAAAAAATCAGTTTTGCTTCAGTTTTGCTGCTGAACAGCATTTGATGCCTTATTTCAATTCTATTTAACTTCTAGCATGCTAAAAGGAGAAAGGTACAATTTGTGCCCAATAACCCTCCCCCTAATCTAACAAAGCTTTGATTGAAAAAAAAATATGGTAATATACACAGAATGCTAGTTTTATGTTTAGCTAAGCTAGCATAAGTTGTTAGATTATATGTGATGTGTTACATATCTTTCTGTGTATGTTACTAAAATAATGTGTTTATGATATGTATATAAATAGAATTTCACATTTGTTATTTAGTATTCTTGAAATTTGTGTTTAATTGCATAAAATGTAGCTACCAGTTTTTAAATAAAATTAGCCAGAAATTATAATTAAAAAATTGTAGCAGAGGTTCAAGATTATAATTTCTACATTAACAGCATTTTATTAAATTAAGCAATATATTTGAAAAGAAAGAAAGAAAAAAGTAGTGTATGTTTGTTATATATTTTTACATGTCTGTTTCTCGTCAATATTGATCATTCAAATATATTTGAAAACATTTTATGTACTCTTTCATTTTCTTTGAAATTGTGTAATACTGGTGTTTACCATATTAAATTAGTAAATTAAAAAGTGTCTGTATATATAAACTGAGCAAGATTTGAAATTAAATATGAGTTTTAATTACAATCATAATATAAACTACTTTTAAGCACTAGACTCTGTGCACTTTCTCTTCAATTTTCATGAATCCTTAGTACAAAATAGCAGTTGTTCTCTGCACTTACCATTATCTGTTTTAAGTTAATAATTGAAGTTTTCCTGCTGAACAAAAAGTGCTGTTAAGCTCTCTTTGAGAAGAGTAAAGGGTTTATGCCTAAAATGCATGTTATACCCCTTATTTCAACTCGTCAACATTTTGAAAAAGATAACTAATGAAAGTTAAGAGAAAAATATCATGTTATAAGAGTATTTTCTAAACACAATTGTGTATACATTTTTCAAATGTGCATTGCATGTGCTTTGAGCATTGAAATGATATTGAAGTGAAAAATGTATGAAATTACTAGTCTTTTGAGTGGCATTAGCTTGCCTGAAATTCCTGCACTTTAGCATTTGACCCTTTTTGTCTCTGTTTATTTCCTCCTTCCCCAGTGGAGTCCCTTGGAGGCAGCAGTAAGTGTCACACAATCTCCTCTGTGTCCTCCATTTTTTACCTTATTTTACATCTGTGCATGTTAATTTTGTTTTTATTTCTTTAAGTGTTGGAGTTGTAAATGTATTAAAAATATCTGAATAATTGTTTAGTGTGTAATTTGTAAAATAAACTGAGTAATGTGCTGACTATTAATCTCATATCAAAATTTGTATTTTAGAAATTGTTTGAAATGGCATTTTTAGAATAAACTAGCTATTTCCTTCACTCCTTATTCCTTATTTTAACATAATTATTTTGATTTACGAAGTTAAAAATTATGTTCTCTAACCTGTCTACAATGATGGCAAAAAAAATTTTTTTAATGATGTTTTAAATTTATAGATTTTTCAGTTCTTTTTACATATTTACATAATTAGCATATTCAATACACATGGTTTATGTTCTGCAATACATTCATACAACTATAGCTATTAATTTGGCTATTTCTCAACCTTATTAAGTGAATTTTTGTGGGATCTGAATTATGTGAGAATATTCGTGAAAATGCAACTCTAATATTTTCATTAATATAAATAATTGCTTTTTGGAATTATTATGTGTTTTAGTTCATCTGAAAAATATTCAAAAGTACAGAAAGGCAATATTGTAATGTTAGTTCATTTAACCTATTATTACTGCATACATTTTTTTTAATTTTCAAAATGTTAGAATTGTTTTAGATGTGATAAAGTCATATATATTAGGCAAAAATGTTTTTACTAATTTTGGGGATGATATTTCAATACTGAGTAGATGTATGGCAAAAAGACATATATTCATCAACGTAACACTCACTTCTTGGAAGCCAGTGTAATGGTGTAACGTTTCCCCAACATGATGCTAAATTAAATGCATAATTTCTGTAAAATGTCTTTTTTTTTAGAAGCCAAAAATTTGGCTATGTATAATTTGATCTACATGTGATCACAGACCTATTGTATGCTATAATATTTCCTAGAGCATGAAAAAAGTGATAATCATATGAGAGGATGTCAGAGAAACAAGACAGATTGTGGCAGCAATTCCCTGTTTCAGAGTGGTTATTGCATTATGGATCTTTTTCACTTTATGTGCATTGTTCTTCAAGAATCATAGTTTTTCCCCCTCACTATTTTTTGCTGTTTCTAACAGATAAAAAGTTGTAAGTATTTGAATTGCTGATAGTAAATTCAGCCAGGACACTTTGGTCTCAAGAAAAGAACTCATAGTGCACAATGGCAGCCCACGTCTACTCTATGTATATAGTAAGCCCTTTGGAATAGATTAGAGGGAAATGGATCTATTGGTAACAGCAAGTGAAATAACTGTTTGATATTGAACCCATTTCTGATTACTCATCACAAAATCCAGAATTTCTTTTTGTAAGAGGAATTAAATGATGGGTCTTTGAAGTTTCTTTTCTTATTGTCCATCGGTTCATACAATCCGTGTTAACTCCACTCTTTCCTCAGCTGATGCGAATGAAAACAGTTTTCAGCAGATTACATTGAAGAATTCAAAGAATTTTCAGACACATAATCCAATTCTTTTCAAAATTGGCTGTCAAATTAGTATTATTAATTTATTAATGGCAGATGGTAGAAATTTTGGAACAATCACTTTTGCAGTATGATTTGTTGTTGTATTGTATCCAAAGGCAATATATATTTTGTAGCTTACTGCAGAAGCAGTTGCACTGTGTTCATACTTATGCAACAAACATATTCAAATAACACTGCTGTTCTCAAATATAACCAATGTATTCCATACACTGAAAACTTAATCATACTTCCTGAATAGCAAACTTCAGTTGTGAGCATCACCCATGCACATGCGTACATGATTGTATCTATTTTTGCAGTAAAGACTGCTTTAAAATAAGATAAGAAATTAGGAAAAATCCATTCTATCAGATACGAAAACTTATTGCAAACTTAGGCTCACGTGAATTAAAAAAAAAAAAAAATGCTTTTAAAGATTTAACAATGTGATTTATACCCTCTTTTAATTCCAGATATAATTATTAACCATTTCTAAATGCTTGTCATTTATTTCAAAATGGATACTAGTGAGGGAAAATTATAATTACATATTATTAGGAAAAAAAAGGTCTCTCTATAGTAAGTTTAATATAGTATGCAATAAAAGGTTAAATTATGTTATCTAAAAACAGAAGAGACACATGCCAGAGTGAAGCATAAAATTAGCTAAGTAACAACCCTGTGTTTGGTGTAATTTAATCAAGAACTCAATTGATTTTGAGGGCAAACAGGTAAAGAAATCTGCAAGGCAGACGAATATGTGTGGTTTTTAAGGAATCGTTATTTTTTGTTTTTTGAATCAGTTAGATCATTGAGTTCTTTCATTCTGTCTTCTCATTTCTATTGATCTCTCATGTTTCGCCAATTAAAATTTGTCATGTTTTAAAACATTTCTCTTTTCAGTTCTTAGTCCATTTGTATAGTTGCTATCATAAATACATATAGCAATTTATATAAACAGATAAACAAAATGTACTTTTGTTGTCATAACTACTCTTAGCAATTAACAAATAATGTTAAAATATTACATAAATCAAAATATTAATTCCAATTAATATTAGCAAATATGTGTTTTTTATTTTCAATATGGAGTATTGTCTAAATGGTAAAATAATGTTTGATTGAAATTTAACTTTCTATATTTTCCGATTATTTTTTAGAAACAGATGAAAGAAAAATTAGGATTCAAACCCAGTTCTAACCATTTACACTGAGCATTATTATATACCCACAATAATAATATGCGCAAATGGTTAGAATTGAAATTTATTTATGTTTATTTTTAATTGTCTTTGAAAAGATATATTTAATAATTGATTGTATTCAACTCCATCACTTATTTTTTCATTATTTACTATTTTAATTTTATTATCACTTAATGAAATTACATTAAAATTTAAGATGCATGTTTTGGGCATGAAAACTGTTAACTTGATTTCCCCTTGGTTACCATATCTTTTGATTATATGATAGCTTGAGTTCTCTAAATTTTTATTTTAGGTGTTTCAGAATTGTAAAGTTGATATAAAATTGTTTTTTAATTTCAAAATGACATTAAAAAATAATCAGTGTAGTTAACTTTATTAATTTTAATGTAAATTTTTGTTTCTGTATATGTTTAAAGTTTTTGTAATTGATGTAATGTATTGGTGAAAACATTTATTTCTTTTTCTTAATTAAGAAGATAAATTAAGTTTTATTAAAGATATTAATAGAATTGATTAATAAAAAGCAAACAGAATTTATTTAAACTGAAACATTTCATTTAAACTGAAAGCTAATAGCCATATGCACATCACACAGAAGTGATCACTTATATAGATCTGTTCTTTGTTTATATTTCATGCTCATATAAGTAAGTATACCTTGCACACACACACACACACACACACACAAAAAAAAAAAAAAAAAAATCAATAAATAAGAGATAGTTCTATATCTACCGGTCTATTGGACCGATTGTTGAAATTTAACTTGCGTTTTCCATGTCTCAAAAACACGACTTAGGATATTTATTAGATTTATATATAACATTACAGTAAAATAGGTATTTTGACAAAAAAAATCAGACTTTTCTGAAGTAATTATACAAACTTTTTTGCCTAGTTTGATTCTATCACTCAAATTATGCCAAAGTGCCAAGTTTTGTAAAAATCACACAAGTAGTTTTTAAAAAATTAGCTCTCAAAATATTTGGTCTTCCATGTTAATTGAATTTGGCATATATTTATTAATATCTCTCTTCCTTTCACATTTCGAAATTTAGATTCATTCCAAAATAAAATTCACCTTTTTTTATAATTTATTTTAAAAATTTGTATTTTTAAATGATTTTTGTAAATTTTTTGAAAAAAATTTTGAATTATTAACCTATAAAATTTTTACATTCATCTTAAAGTAGATGTATTTCTAAGCATATCTGCAAAAAATTAGAGTTTTTTATTCAAAATTTTGTAAGATATGTGTGAATTTTGATATTTGTGCATTTTGAAATTTGGCATATATTTGTCATGAGTGATGATAATACCAAATGTGGTTTATGCACTTTGTTAAAATTACTTGAAAGAATGAACGATGCATCTTTTTTATTCAGCTCATGCACAGTGAAAGGGAAAAGTAAATAGGCTATCATAAATTAAAAAGTTCGTCAAGTGAATTATTCTTGGCACAAATTGAAAAAAAAAAATGCATCAAAATATATTTTTTAATTTCTCCATAAATGTCAAAATTTATTATTTAGGCATAATTTCACCAAAAATTACAAAATTTATTATCTATGCATAATTTGAATCATAAAACCAAAATATGGAAAAAAAATTGGTATGTTATTTCAGAAAAAGTCTGATTTTGTGTCAAAATACCTATGTTAGAACATTGCTATATATAAATGTAATATATATCCTAAGTTGCGCTTTCAGCACATGGAAAACACAATTTAAATTTGGACAATCAGTCTAGTTGAAAGGGAGATATAGAAGTGTCCCATTTTTTTCTGTGCAAGGTGTACATGTATAATATTTAATGCTTTAATTTCATCAGAATTGTTTTTAGATTTAAATCATTACTCTCATTCAAATTTAAAGCATTATCTGAAAAAGTTTCTGGGTGTTTTGTAAAAGAAATAGTATAATGTTTACAAAATAGCTTTAAATACTGGTTTTAGATAAGTAACTTTTAAATTAGATATATGAACTGGTATACTAATTAAAGTTATCTTATAAATTAATAATGCTAGATGGCATCCTGGGTGAAATAATTATTTCACAATAAGTAAATATGAAATAGCATTTTGGCTTTTGTACAAAAGTCTACGAATGCAGTGCTGTAGGAAGTATATGGCAGTGTTCTCTGGGGAGTATGCTATGAATATCCATTTTGCAATGATTTAATTTATGGAGATTCAGCCTTGTTCAGAAATTAAAGCAAAATGAAAAATAATTTTTTTTTAAATTCAAGGA